CGCGACGCTACCGGCCCCCGCCTTGGCGGCGCATGCCAATTGTAATTAGGTATTAGAAGAATGTCATTGTGTTTAATACAAGCCTGAGAACAAAAACTATAGTCTACACTACAGCTCTACACCGAAGCGAAGCGAGGACGGGCCACTAGTTTATTAATAAGGGAGATGGTGTCGCGGACTTTTTTGTAGATATTAATGTCCCCCATAAAACTTTAGTACATCACTTTGCTCTACTGCCAATGACTTACGCAGCGTAAGCGATATAAGTTTATTTTTTGGGTTTTCTTCACACCCTGGGTTACGTTATCGAAGTTTTCATACGGACGCCAAACTTTTTTGAGAATACTCTATAGCCTATGTTCATCAGGGATAATGTAGAATTGTAAACGAGAAATTATTTTTCAAATCGGTCGGAATTAGTATGGGTAGTTATGGGTAGTCATGCTCTCTTAATAGTCTCTTCGTTGGTGTCGTGTGAGGCGGGTCGTTACGTTCCCTAAAATATGGTTGAGCGAAGCGATGGCTGGTTCATGGGTCATGCTCGTGAACGGGTGCTGCCAGCGGAGATGAGTCTGCCCTAAGTTCCTTAATATTGAAGTTAATGTTTAGTCACACTTAATATAAATAATACTATTTGTATTTATACTGTATCATATGACACAGCAATCAAAATGCAGGTAAACAATGTATATTTAATCATTATGTAATGAAAGGTGACTTCATGAATCATGTGCGAAGTCATTTTTCAATTTGACGACTTAGTTAATAATAAAACAGGGAGAAAAAAACAGCCCTTGCTGAGTTTCTTGCCGGTTCTTCTCAGTACAAGGTCTCTCGCCGTAGATTTATGAACCGATGGCGTAGCTTCTAGACATTCATGAGTGCTTGTAAACTGAATGACTGATTTTGATTATTATGATTATTGAAATACAAACCAACAAATCTTTTCTCTTTATAATATTAGTGTAGACAACACGTCTGTTCAGTATCATCCGCGCAGGCAGTGTTGCTCTATATCTCTGGTGAGAATGATGAGAAACTTGCATGAAGCACGTGGTACTGACACGCTATCGTAGACACCATTGTAGAAAGGATTACGATGGTGTGACTATCTATGATACGAGTAGATTGAAGATTTCATATTGCGCAAGAAGGCGTGTTTAAAGAATATTATGTAAAAAGATAAGAACAATGTGAAAGATATGACTGTGATATAGGTTACGGCGGATTTTCCGCATCAATTGAAGCAGCCCTTTAGGAATTTTCTTAACCACCTGAATAAACTGCAGCTTGATAACTCGAAACGATATAAATTACATATAGTTTTTATTTTTATTTTATTTAAGGAAAGCCTTATTATAGACCAGGGTCGATAATTTTAAAAATGGTGAAAAGTGAAAAAAAATTATAGTAGGATGAAACCCATTAGAAAAGGTAGAGAATATAACAAAAATGAAAGGAAAAATAAATTACGGGCGATCTGAGGTCGGGAAGGGGGAGCGGGTGAATTTTTAAGGGTAAAAAATGGTTAATCTCGATTTCCGGTAAAATTGCAAGTCCTATGAAAAAAAGTTAAATCGCAAAGTTGTAGGTAATAAAAAGATCTACAACTTTTGTATCGACATTTTTTGGTTTTTGAATTTTATTTTTTGCAAAAAAAAATATTTTTTCACGAAATTTGGTGAAAACTTACCTTTGTATGTCCCAAACATACAGTAATTTTTCTGATTTAAAATATTCATTTTTTCACCTTATTTTGACTTAATATCCAAAAAACACCCTTATTTTCAATCGAAAATTCTCACGTCAAAATATCTGCTTTTTAAAAAAGTTGGGGTGTTTTTTGTTTGTTGAAATCTCTACTTTCTGATGGTATAAAAAAAATATACACTACTATGGTAAATGTTCTCAGAAACTGCAAATTAATAATGAAAAAAACTCCAATCCGAAAAATTGATTTGAATCATTATGTATAATTTTGAACTATTTTTAATAAATATAATTTACACTTTAATTACTCGAAAAACGTAAGATTTTATGTTATATTGATAAACATAAAAATTACAAATCCATAAAACATGCAAAAATAGTTGTTGTAAGTAGGTATTAAAAATAGGATTTTCGGATTCGAGTTTTTTTCATTATTAATTTGCATTTTCTGAGAACATTTATCATAGTAGTGTATATATTTTTTTCCTTTCATTTTTGTTATATTCTCTACCTTTTCTAATGGGTTTCATCCTACTATAATTTTTTTTGGTCTCAAAAATTATCGACCCTGGTCTATTATACGTACATTTGAGTATAAAATATTTGATTTACATATAAGCCAAATCAGTTTCCACGACGTAATAAAACTTTACATTGAGTTACTAGATTTTTAATTAAATCTCATAACTGTAACAAGAATAAACAAGATTTTGTATAAATTTGAAATTATGAATAATATTTGAAATTTTGATGAGTCTCTTATTACTTAAGTAGGAATGTCATTAAAAACAATATGAAAACAAAATGTAACAAACATTGATTGATGATAATGGGCCTAATAACAGTTCAAATAAAACAAGACGATATAGATTTTTTAAACTTAACTAAGCTAAGACTAAAAATGTCGAACTGTTGATATCTGTTATCATAGGCATTACAGGATCTTATAGTAAACCTATTCTTGGCATAGTTGGTGCGACACAAAGGCAGGGCAAATGTTTTAGTAGACCTCAGAGAAGATTTTCTACATTTATAAAATATGTTACTGGTTAAATGACTTGAGTCAATCATGTTATTAATTATTTTAAAAAGCATAATTTGATCGCGATGCTCTCTACGCAGATTCAAAGGTACGATTATTTCAGTGCAGAATTCATGATATCTATAATTCAAACGTTTCATAAACTTCTTTTGTATATTTTCTATAGAATCTATATAAATTAAATAAGATTCCAAGCTGTTGATGCATATTCCAATATTGATCTTACATACGAATTGTATAACAGTATCAAAGTACTAGGTGATTTAAAATCAGAACTTTGCCGAAAGATGAAGCCAAGGTTTCTGTAAGCACGACCAATTACATCATTAACATGTGAATCAAAAAGAAGTTCACTATCTAAAATAACACCCAAGTCTCTCATTTCGGTAACCCTGTGCAGTATATTATTTTGCAAAAAATAGTTACAAAATATAGGGTTATTTTTCTACTATAAGTTATAATGTGACATTGTAGTTTATTGTTTGTACAGTATTGTTCTAAACGTTTCAAGTCATTCTGTAGTAAATTACAATCTGACAGGGATTTGATTTCATGAAATATTTTGATGTCATCGGCATACAGCAAAATTTTTGAGCTTTGAACAACGCTTACAACATCATTTATAAATATATTAAAAAACAATGATCCGAGATGAGATCCCTGGGGTACGCCTGAGGTAATGGGTACAAAAGATGATGTGAAACCTCTCACTGCAACTGCTTGAGTTCTATCCCTCAGGTAAGAAGTTAACCATCTCAGTAGATCACCGTGTAAGTGTAAGTAAGGATTTAACCTCTAGTCCTGTTATTTTTATTCTTGTTGTTTCTGTTTTATCATTCATTGGTTTGGAAATCCCACGAAAAACTCATCTTAATAATATTAAGTTTACCGTACAATAGAGCCTTGCATTGCGTATGGTATTAGGTATTAGTATTATGATTAAATTACATAAGATAAAATTGTGTTTTAAAATCATATTAAAGTGGTTGAATAAAAACAATCGAGATCAAGCATTAAAACATGGCGCCGATCCTATCTTCTGTTCCCGTTTCATGCTTTTTATTTTACCCGTGAAAAGGACGTTAATAATTTTTAATTGACTCACCAATTTTTGTGCATTCAAAGGCCATAATCAAATTAAAATGACTAGAGTCTGTGCGGAAAGAGAATAGGATTTAGATTGAAGGGCGCTGTAGTGCTTTTCTACCGTATTTGTAATGTTTTACCCCTTTTAGACATGATTAAATACAAAAAACCGCAAGAAATCACAACAACAAACAAATCCGTATCAATACAAAGCTTTGACGTTTTACAAATCGCTGGGTTTGATTGCCAAATAAAAATCTTAATGTTAGTTCCGTTTTTCACCACGCCCATTCTCTTTCCGCACAAACTCTAGTTATATCACACTATACTACTATATATTCAATTTCTGCGGATATTGTGATCGCTGCTGCAAAGTTTTCGAGTAAGATAAACGTGGGATCAATTCTCATCTGTCAGCACCTTGATTTGGTTACTTGATCCCTTAATACATCACACACACATGATTTTATTTCAGTCACTACAATGTTATGTCCTTCGAATCTGAGAAACTCTATTCGATTTCATACGAATAGTATATTTAAAATATAATTTAATAAAGTAACTTTAGTTTTTTTCGTAGATAATTTAATAATAATGAAATTAATGAGACTTCCTCGTTTAAGTTATTAAAAAGACATTTCGCAGTTCCATACGAATAAACTCAAAAATGGTATCTTTGTTCAAATGACACAATGATATGGTCAGGACCTACCCACTTTACAAGGGATAATACGTAAGAATCAGAAGCTAGTTCCCACGAGAGTAGGAACGATGGAATATTTTAAATCACACCGCTTTATGAAGGAAACCCATGGGAAGGGCTGTTTCTGTTACATATGGAATAATATTTAAATGCTAACGAAACCAAGTGGCAATGTTACGGATTAAAAATACTACGTATACAGTATGTATGCATTTAGAAACACAATTAATTTCGGCCATATCCCAAAACCGCAGCCACGCAATTAACTACGTGACATTGAGCAGTCGCGTGAGAACACCAACACAAACAAATGGCCCGGCGTTAATTAACCAACAATATTTTAGAAACAATCGCATGATTAAATCTCCAGACAATGGTAACATTTCAACCGAATATGACCTTACCTTATTTGTAACATATTCGGTGTCATCCGAACGGCAGAGACCTAACATATCCACATGCCGAGCTACGCGTTTACAAAACGCGCCTCGGACAATTAAACAATTGGGAGCCCAGAGTGGATAAGTAGACGTTAAGAAAAAACAGATTTTCCGTTTCAGATAATAATGAAATGACAACAATGGAGCGGTTTGCGCAAGGCGTTCGCACGGCGAAGGAGCGAGTGGGGCGTATTTTATATAGGAGAGTGAAGTGCGCCGGCGCAGCCGTAGCGTCGTCATGTAGCTACGGCTGCCCAAGCGAGATGATCCTCCTCGTACTCCTCGCGTGTCTCGCCACAGCCTCCGCTCAAAACACCACCGAACATGCCACCACTGACGTTATACAACCAGCGACTAATTCCACCAAAGAAATCCTCAAGGCCAGCGAAACAGCTGACCCCGCGAAGGTAGGAATCGTGAAACAAATTCGACGTCTGAACGAAGATGGCTCCTACACTATCGGCTATGAAGCTGACGATGGTACCTTCAAAATCGAGAGTCGGGACGTTCTAGGAAATGTGAAAGGAACTTTCGGATACGTAGACAAGGACGGCGAAATAAAACGTGTGACTTATTCATCTTCGAGTGACGTTACACCAGCTCCGGTGCCGGTGACGACGAGCACCACTCCCAGCACGCCTACAATGGTAATAAGAGTGAATAAAACAGTGTCTTCCACTACTAGGAGGCCATTAGGTACTATAGTGTATCCCACTAGGAGCAGTTTTACTACCAGAGGAACAGTGATCCAAAACATTCCTAGAAGACGTCCGATACCGAGTTCCACCAGAGCTACCACTAGCGCAGCTGAAACTACGACAGAAAAACAAACGGCCGAGGAAACTACTAGCAACATCTTAAACCTTTACAAGCCCAAGTCAGAAGAAAGTGTTAAAACGCGTACGCAAATGCTAAAACCTGTTGCAGTGACAGTGAAGGACGATTTAATAACGAAGCAAACCACGACCAAGTTACCTCAAACAATAAAACCAGTGTACGAACACGTGAAAGAAGATAGCGATTCGAACAAAGCGAACACGATCCGTAGGGAACTCACAGAGACGAGTCCGAATCCTCATATGGTGAGCCTGCGGCAGTCCGCTGGTGATGACTCCACAGATGTTTACGGCAGTCATTTATCTTTGGGTACAGTGCGACCATTGTTCACGACTACTACCCAGCGTCCCAGGCTTGTGCCAATACATTCCCTAGTAGCTGCTAGACAGAAAATACAACAACAATACCAAGAAGTTCCCATTCAAGAGCAGGAAACGACTATTGAAGCCAGTACCGGACGCGTTTTCGACCACGAAAATGTTGTGACTTCAAATCCTGTTCCAGTCATCCACATACCACCCGAAAGGTACGACGAGAGGCTGTACCAGCAGCCGATTTATAGAAGACCACCAGCAGCAGTACAGTTTAGAACGAACGAGTACTTGAAAGACAATCCTGGTTCTCCTGTTCCAATAGGTAACCAGCGGCCCTTTCACCACTACGAATATCAGAACAAAGTATTGGAGCCTCAGTACGTGAAAGAAACCTCTCCTCCACCTCCACAAACCAAACCGACTACTCCTGAGCCAGTGACGGTACCGTACGACGCGAGACCGGTGACTCGAATAATACCAATACCAGTGGACGATAGAGGAGTGCCTATCCACGGTTATCAGGCGAGATTCATCAACCCATACAGGCCAACACAACCTCCACCAATGGTGTACCAGCCGAGATACGAGCCAGTAGACGAGATGAACTCCATCTCCGCTCCAGTGAGTACTAGAGATTTGAGACGTTTGCTGCACATCCTGATTTTAAGGCAGAATCGCTTGCAAGCTTTGATGGATCAACTAGTGGCTCCTGGACCGCCTTACCAGCCTGTTCAACTGTTCAGGCAAGAACCTCAGTATTACAACAGATATGAGGCTCCTCGTCACTACCAGGATGAAGACCGGTACGATTATCGATATGAGCAGCAGCAACAACAACAGCAGTACAGGCAGCAAGACGCTTATTCTAATCAGATGTCTAACTACGAGAATCCTCAGTATGAAAGCCAGCGATACGTGCCAAGAAGGAGATTGTACAATAGACCTTATGATACAGCCAGTTCGTCGTCGAATCGTATTGAGGATTCACCAGAATACCTGCCTGCGGACATTCGTGAAGCGCTGCTTCTGAAGATGCTGATGTTAGCAATTAATCCTGACTTCATGCCTACCCCGCCACCTCCTACCGAATTGACGACGGCTGCTCCTCCGAGGAAACAAGTGAGAAACGTACAGATCCTCGGGGAAGAAGGCTCCGTGGAGGAAGCGAAAAGAGCACCCATGCAAGAGCACTGAGGTAAAATTTCCAATGTACCTAATTTATTCAGTGATTTAATATATTGCCAGTAGAATACTCACCTGAAAATGTACATAATGTTTATTTTAGTAAAGTGTTTAAATTTTTAACAATATTGCTGTTTGATTTCGTTTGCCAATTTCAATATAATTATTCAGAATTATGTACTTTTTACTTGTACCTGTGTGGATCACAGTTATTTTGAAGCTCAATAGCGTCATTCATTACAACACAATTTTGACGATAAGATTTTTTTTTATGAAAGTTAATAACAGTAATAGACTATATAGTTATAGTATCTTACCTAAATATTCAATTGCGCATAATCTTTGCATCCTTTAAAACTGTAAAAGTAGTTAAAGTTCCATCAATATATTAGTATTAATATCAATATGCCTTTCGAATAATGTTGTGCTATTGGGATATTCAGAATACCCAGTAATTAACTCAAAGTAAATTCCCAAAGAAAGACTATTCAAAACATCTCGTGAAAGTTTTAAAAGTGAGAGAAATTCCCGGGCGGAGAGCGTCCACCCGCTATTTCCCCGCTAAATTTAATTTCAAGTCAACTTTTATATTTTTCACCGTAACAAACTTCTACAAAATGTAAGTAAATATTGAAAAAAGATGGGGAAAATCGTCAACGTCTTTCTCAAGTTATGCCATGACCAAGGGCATAAGGGATTACTTTTTTATTTAAATAGATTTACCACCAAACAGTTCGTATAAGTACGTACTCGTCTACGTAATAGAATCCGTATACTAAATATATGCCTTTTAATTCGATTTGAGGGCCGCGCTTCGAAACGTGTATTCAATGTACTTTAATACTTAATTAAGTCACATTCAAATTCAAATTCTTTATTTGCCATTAAATAGGATGGGTACATTGAAATGTTCATGTTAACAAAGATATTCAGGTAGCTTTAAGCCTATTTAGCCATATGACATAGCATGCAAAAGGAATATTTCCATTTGTATTTCTATGAAAACAATAATAAAATAAAAATATAATTTCATTAATAATCTATACTTATAATAAATCTGTAAAGAGGTCAATTCTGTACATGAAATATATTTTCAAAATAACTATCAGGGGGTGATAAGTGATCGAACCTGATGCCAAAAATGCAATCAGTAAAATTTTTGTCTGTCTGTCTGTCTGTCTGTCTGTGTGTATGTTCCTTATAGAAACAAAAACTACTCGACGGATTTTAACGAAACTTGGTACAACTATTCTTCATACTCCTGGGCAGGTTATAGTATACTTTTCATCACGCTACAATCAATAGGAGCAGAGTAGTGAAGGGAAATGTTGGGAAAACGGGAGAAGTTACTCCATTTTTTAAGCTTCCGTCGCGTGTGCAGCCTTAATGGTTAAAGTTACATGGAAATCATGTATGACGGAAATATTCTACATAAAATTGTCAAAAAAATATCCCAGAACAGCATATGTCTATCTTTTATGGTTGACTCACAATAACACGTGTAATTATATAAATAAAGTCATTGTTTATAACACAAGCCCGAGAACAAAAACTATAGTTTACACTACAGCTCTACACCGAAGCGAAGCGAGGGCGGGCCACTAGTCCGTAATAAGATAGAAAAAAAAACAAATTGTATACATTATATTCAATAGGATAATAATCAAAACTAATAGCATTACCAATACATGCATCAATTAATTTAATAAGAATAATATTATGAATGTCATTTTGTCGTTACAATAGAAAAATTCTTAACATCAACTTCAATTAATGTAAAAAGATAAATTGATGTAACTACAATGAGTCTTTTCTGATAACAGCAGCACAGAGGAGCTAATTAAAACAATACAGGTACAGCAACGTCTAAAATGACAGCCTATTCATCAATTAACTAACAACTTGAAATAGATCGCTCTATCGGGCAATCTGCAACAGACAATGAAATACAGGCACACATACTTCATATGCCAAGGACCGCGACAGTTATTCGAAACTAGCACGTAAGTGATGTCAACAAAGCCTGGCCTTCACGGCTCTGGGTGTTGGGTAAGCCAAGATTAGGGGGTGGGCAATATGGGCCCAATTAACAGGTTTAACTGTTGTGACGAACTTGAAATAACGTAGCCTGGATAAAGCATGCATGCAATCTTGAACTGATACAGAAATCAGTACCCGTAGCACGAACCAATATCGAATTCGAATAGTTTGCGAAAGCGAAATGTCATTGTCCAATGTGTACATAATTCTTAAATAATTAGGTATAGGTATATTATGCAAATAAAACTAAATGTAATAACTAAAACTAACAAACCTTAAAATATGTAATAACTAAAATACATTATTAAAAGGAGTCCCTTTAGGCAAGGTTCCAAAGATACTGGCAGCGTTTCCCCCTTTGAATAGCTAGACTAATTCTTTGTCCGAGGTAGTTGCCAGCTCTTCGGTCTCCTGTGACGAATGTGTACTGATTTTTAGTTCTCACTAGAGGTCGCCCGCGACTTCGTCTGCGTTAACTAAGTTTCTTGGAAATCCCTCTGGAACCTAACATTTTTTTCGGGATAAAAGTAGCCTATGTGTTATTCTGATCTATAAGCTACATTACTGTAAAGTTTCATTAAAATCCGTTTAGTAGTTTTTGCGTGAAAGAGGAACAAACATCCATCCATACATCCATCCAAACAAACTTTCGCCTTTATAATATTAGTAAGGATAGTAAGGATTACGTCCGTTATGACGCTGCTGTTCCAAGTTTCCATAGAAAATTTGACAATGACATTTCGTACTCGCAACCAAATCGAATTAGATATTCGTTCGTGCTAAGGGTACAGTTTCCATTGATTAAGTTTACTAAGGTAAGTAGTTACGGAATGATTGAAATGTAAACCTATAAAAATATGTAATATTCTTTGAAATTTCCTTCTTAAAATACCAGCCATTAACATTTCTTTTAAATTAGGGTAAATTACATTCATATGTTAGGTGACAAATAAACTAATTTTCAACTTATTAGTAAACTAGAGGCCCGCCCTCGCTTCGCTTCGGGGTAGAGTTGATCAAAATCCTTTCTTAGCGCATGCCTACGTCATAACATCTACCTGCATGCCAAATTTCAGCTCGATCCGTCCAGTAGTTTAGGCTGTGCGTTGATAGATCACTATGTCAGTCAGTCACCTTTGAGTTTTATATATTACCTATATAGATATAATCAAAAACTTTCAGTTAACTCAGTTGCAAGAATATTTTGTAGTACGACTTATAGCTTACAGGAATATCATTGTAGCACATTTTGGTAGTAGTTATTTATAGAAATGATTACCATATTATCTACTTGCCCACGGAAGTGGTAATAAAACAATACGCTCGGAACTGACTTGCTAAAAACACTCTGAGAAAAATGTAAAGTAATCATTTCTCAAATTTGATTGATAAGTGTCTTACTTATTTTTTTTATTATTTTAATGTAATTATTCTGCGTTCTCAAGTAAAACTTACGCTGTCATTAATAGTTGTATCTATGACATGGGATAAGGCTAGCATCACATAGTTTGTGGGATAAGGATTTATGATTTGGGTTCCCATGTCATAGATACGGATATCCTTTTTTTTTAAAAGGTGAAGGATTAATACTTGCGAACGCGGGTAATTTGCTTACAACAGTTAATAAAATCTTCGTGTTAAGACGTGCTTAATGATTTATTGTTAAAGTAAAGACGATAGTTTAAATGTGATTATTATATTACAAATTGTAATAAATTTCGTCAAATCAATCAACAAACTAGGCTATCAGACAGAAACAGAAGCAATTAAGAATCAAAATTAAAAGAAGCAATTCCGCTAACAAGCGGAATATAAAAAAAATCGAATTAATAGCAAAATTAATAACATCAGTATTTTTTATTCCGAAATAAGGAGAGGAGCCCTATGACGCGATGATTAGCGAGTTAGGCTGCGAACGTTGAAGTTAAGCAACTTTCGCAGTGGTCGGTCATTGGATGGGTGACCAAAAATTGACAATCTTGAGTTTCCGAAGGCACGTTAAGCCGTTGGTCCCGGCTGCATCTGCAGTCGTTAGCACCCACCAATCCGGATTGGACCACGGCCCAATCTTCCTATTCCATCCATAGGAAAATTTGTGCTTCGTTTCTTTTCGATGGACGGTAATAGAACAAATTACTAAAAGTTCATCACAATCAGACGAATAGTTTAGTAAGCGTGGGTGTCAACTTCTTTAGGCTGACATAGTCGCCAAGCGGCTAAAGCCATTAAATAAGATAAAAAAAATACTTACTTTAACTGTCCACTTAAAGTTACGGTTAGGTAAAAAATGTGTTGCACCATTTAACAATCGTCAAAATGACGTCATAATTTGACGTTAACAACAATTAAGTAAATAAAAACAAAAAAGATGGCTCCCAAACAAGAACTTTTTATTTACAATGTATGTGATGGTAGGTACTAAGGGTTTAGTTAATAAGCGCAGAATAAGTTCGGATTAGTGACTTTATGTTATGTTTGACGACCTCCGTGGTCAAGTGGTTTGTACGCCGGGTTTCATGGTGTTGCCGACTCGAGAGGTTCGAATCCCTGTGGGGGCAGATGTTTTGTGTGATGAATACAAGCATCTGTACTCCAGTCATGGATGTTTAATATATATTCATATAAAAATAAACTTATATATTTACAAGTATATGTATTCTATCCGTTGCCCTAGCATCCCATAACACAAGCCTTACAGTGCTTACTTTGGGGCTAGGCTAATTGGTGTGAGTGTAAGACATATTTATTTATTTATGTCTCTGTTTATTGAAAGACAAATTGTCATCTGAGTGAAATGTATAAAACACGGCGTAATTAGTCAAAGGTTAATCCTCGTTTATTTATAAAGGAGTTTGTGTGCAAATCCGACTCACACTTATTTATTTATTTAATTACTCTTTATTGTTTTGTAACAAATGGCGGACTTAATGCCACATGGCATTCTCTACCAGTCAACCATCGGGCTAAGCAGAGACATTATGCGGTCAAGTAAATTAAAGCATTATGGTAAAAGAGAAAGAAAAACAAAATTAAATTCATAAAACTACATGTTACTTAATATAATGATCCACCGCCAAATCTAGGTGTGAGTGTTCTAAAGACGAACCGGTTTTAAGGAC